TATGATACTTCCAAATGTCTAAGAATTGCTTAAGTTTAATACGCTAATTTTAACTAAAAGTGGAAACTTACGGTAATTTGATAATTAACCAACTTTAAATATGGTCGTCGTATATATTTTACCATTGTCTAAACATTTAAGGAGTTTTATAGTAAACGAATGTAGGTCAAAATCAATAAAAAATTGCCCAGTAACTTATTGGAAAGATGGTAATTACGTTTTATTTTAAACAAACATTTCAAACTATTATTTTGCTTTTTAAATTGTTCATTGGTAGCATAATTAATATTATAATCAATACAATGAAATTAAGTTAAGATACCATGAATTGTTATTTCGCTTTAATTGGTGAATCAGCACAGTCACCGTCGGAGCCTTATCTTTACCATTTTAGTTAATATGATTGCACAAGTACACTATTGCAGAGCAGTACTCTATTATTTCCTAAATGGTAGTACCACGTTCTGGTACCGGCACAGCAAATACTGCTACGTCATCAACAATTCTAGATTTGATGACGTAACCATATTATTTTTAAAACAAATACGGCTACGTTATCAACATTACCTGGATAGGAAAATTATTACGTGATGTCGTAGGACGGGGTCCAGGCCCTGTCTCTTATACACATCTAGATGTGTATAAGAGACAGGTACACGTTACCCTACTGACGTTACCATTGATTATAACCCCAGGTTCTACTAAGTGAACCCTGGGCGAAGAGGGAGGATAGGCCTACAGTATCTGATTCGGTTTTCCCAACAACTCGAGCCAAATATATTAAAATAAGTAAAACAAAATATTCGCCACGCAGAGTCCCGGTATCATACAAGGTGAAAATCCTTGAGGAGTGTAATTTTACGGATTAAAAATATTAATCCAATTACAATATAAAGAATGCTTAATGAATTGGAGAATGATTATAGCTGAGCGTCCATCAACCCGGATCAGGAGTTAGTAACCCGGATGTTACTACCTGCCTCTTTGAAAAACAAAAACACAACTGACAGTGTAGGGCAATGACATTTTAGGAGAATGACATTTTAAGAAAGAGTGAAAAATTCACTCATCCGTTACGTTCAGACTATCGCATGCGCAGACTCATGTGACGTCATGATGTTTTAGCTTGCACAATCAAAAGTTCAATAATTATGGGGCATTCAAGCCGGCGATTCATGCTCATTCGATTCAAACTAGTTCAAAATTATAAACAAAATACCTGCAATTATTTTAATTAATAATTTTATAATGCGTCGTATATATCGCACGTCACTACAGAACGCATGCTTCGTGCGAGCTTTTCTCTTAAAATAAAGCTTCATTGACCTTGGCATTTTAATGCTGACAGTTCATTAGCCTTGGTTATCGATTTACAAATCTTTGTATAAATTATTGGGTATGGTATGATCATGGAGTTACTGGAAAAACAACTCTCTTAGCGTTCCACACCTTATAAAAAAATTATAAAACGAAATTGCGGAACATAACGCAAGTAGTGGTCAGTGGCGGCGCTACGGGGGATAGGGGGATACACCCCCCCCCCCGGGGGAGGCCTTGCTCTCCCCCCGGGAGGCCTTGCTCCCCCCGTCGGAAAAACCACAATACGTCGGGGAGAAAAAAAAATTCAAACAAATTATATGTATTTTGTACATATTAATAGCCTCGAAAATCGATTAAATAAACCGTTGAAAACCCCTATATTGTCAATTTTTCAGGGGGCTATGTCCCCTGGACCACTTTCAAAAGGTTTTAAGCGACTCCCGACCACGTCCACTTTTTTTCGTCGGGGACATCAGCCTCCTCCTCCCCCGACCCCATTGGGGACCTTGGACCCCCAGTCGGTAGTAGGGCCTATCGTCGTAGAAGTTAGTAGCGGTGGTGATTGTGTAGTGGTAGATGTTAATGATGATGATAGGAGGAAGAGGAGTAGAGCAGGAAGATGATGATTATAATGATAATGATCATGATGTTGTTGATGATAATGATGATGGTGGTGATGATGGTGATGGTGGAGATGTTGATGGCATGCTGGTACAGTATGTTAATTATGGTGATGATAATGAGAATATTGATGACTACGACGATGATGATGATAATGATGACGATGATGCAAATGTTGATGATTATTATGATGATGCCTTGATGATGTTTTAGTTCATAAAAGCATATTTAAAAAATTAAAAAATTAACCAAGCATTAGCACAAAACATGAAAAATTGAAGTAAATTAACATTAAAATTGGAAAACATAAAAAATTAACGAAAAAATAAAATACATATTATATTTCCGAAAGGTCCACTGATTAATCACATACTCCAAGTATCGAAATGCACCCATCGTGTCGGGATTCAATATTTCGACATTAATTATGTCATCATCAGGAATCAAAAAGGAATCAAACATATTATATTTATTGTACATTGCATCATTATCAAATTTACAAATTCACGTCTAAGGAAGAATAACAAGCATTGCACAAACATAGATTAATATTAGATTACAGAAAAATTGTGAAAGAAAAAAAAGCGACAATCAAAATTTGACCATACAGAAATAAAACAAATAGAAGAAAAGAGATTTAAACTGGACCAGTAACGTTCATTGGCAGGTATTTATTTATTTAATTAATTATTTTCATTGTTATAATATTAACATATACATTATTGTTGCAGATATAATAAGTCAATAATGATAATGATAATAATGTTGATGAGGATGATGACGTTGATGAGGTTGATGATGATGATTATAAGAATCGTAATGGATGACGATATGTTGATAAAGCGCTTTTATGTTCTAGTAGGTTTTAACGACTTAAAAAGTGAAAGCATAATGTATTAAATAGGCCTATACAATATTGATATAACTCTTATATAATTTTATATAATACTTATTTATTTGTAAAATTTTGTCAATTATTCTAGGACAATAAAAACAAAGTTTAACTCTCTTAGCTTCTTTTTAACAAACACATTTCTCAAGAAATGGAGTAAAAATGTTATTTGATAATTTAGTAGCATAATCCCCTTTTCACTCTGTCTAACATTCATT